AATATGATTTGTTCGCTTTAACTCCGTGCTTAATAAAGATTAACAATAAATATCATAGTTATCTTAAACAAAATAAACCCATGTAGATATATACTATAGTAAGCCGCTTCAAACTATTTGTTGTAAAAAATTTTTTTTTTGATTTTATTAAAGTTTGCTTATAGACAAACACTTTTAAGGGTAATATTATTAACATATTATATAGATAGATTATAACCTTAACAATAAAGTTTACAATAACAAAAGCGTTACATAAAATTTAAAAATAATTTCCAGGCATTTTAACATGAAAAAAATATATATTTTGATTTCTACTCCATCACAATTAACATACGAGTATAAAACATTCGATGACGACACGTTTGGCTCAGTTTATAATAACCCTACTTGCTGAGCGATCGCGGGTTCGAGTCCCGCTGGGGGCATTCATTTGTGTGATGCACGAATGTTTGTCAACTATCTGGTATCCATAACGCAAGCCATAGCCATAGAATTAGATGGTGCTATGTGTTAATGTCCCAACATATACTTATTTATTTATTCGAGCAAACTTTTATAAAATTTATACAAACAATTTTATGTTAAAAAGAATAACACCAGAAAACCCTGTTATAAAATAACTTGTTACTTCGTATAAGCTAGCTAAAGTCATATTTGTGGAGTGGACATATCCGATAAGACGGCTTTGGAAGGCTTACTAAGGTTTTACAGTTTTATACTGCACGTATTTGTACATTTTATTTAAAGGTTTATTTTTGAAAGAGGAAAAAATACTATTATTTCAGTATACGTTTGAATTTAAAAGATAAATACGTATTTAATTTCATATAAAACATACGAGGGCGATAATTATTTTGTTAATAAAGGTACATGATAACTTAATGATATATCCCATAATATATTTATTACTTTAATCATTTATTACTTCAGAAAGTAACATTTTGTGCGGAAAATTAAATATATCCGACAGAAACAAATTAAATTTTATATAATAATTGTTTTATTTTTGTTTGGGTATTATCCTCCTAACAGGTTTCGGCGTTGCCGTCAATTTTACTGAGTCCTGGGGCTACCAAATCTCCGACGAATAGATTATAATTGTCGTTCATTACATTTAATATTTTTGCGTAGTGGAGAGTGTAAATAGTCTTTATACCTACTTAAAAAATAATAATTCAAAATTGGCACGTCTGAAGCATGCTTAATAACAATATTAACATAAAAACTTTTTAACAAAAAAATAAACACCGACTTTAAAAAAAGCACTAAAAAGTAAAAAATAACTGATTGGTAGTTTTCATTACTATACATACCTAATCAAATATTTTCGAAGTCGGTGTGTTTTGCTTTGTATTGGCTGGCACATTATGTATTTACTTGTGTGTAATTCTTAAGACGCCTGTGGATTACGACTGAGATATAAAATTTTACTTATGTACACCAAAAGCCAGGTCGGATCACTAGTACGAAAGAAATGTAATTCTAAACTCAATGTAAATGTGCACTTTAGGTAATAGACTTATTACCTACCTACCTTTATACATCTAAGTAGACTGTTAAAGCTTAAGCTAGTAGTGCATCGAAGTTAATGCATGCGATCTAGTTAGATTAGCTGTCGAGGTAACACAATTACCCCTCATACGATTACCGGTCAGAGGCTAGCTTCCTCTGCCTGAATAACGAGTTTATATTGTACATGTATGCTATAGACGAGAATATGAATACTAAAAACACCATCTACGTCTGCCTTTAACTACTATCCTGGTGGTCTAGTTCTAAAATGTATGGCTACAGATGACCTAGGTTCAAATCCCGGGTCAGGCAAGTTTATTTATTGTCAGCCTCAGTAACAGTCTGGAGTTGGAAGGTTAGCGGTGTTTTACTCTCGGAGAGCACGTGAAGCTGTCGGTCCTGCGTCTGATCTCTCACAGGTCGTGTAGAATTATTGTCCCACTGGAATATAAGAGTGTGAAAGGAATAGAGTATACTTGTATCTGCACGTAACCTTGTACACTATAATATCTCCTGCGCAGTTGGCTTGTCTCAGAGAGATTGGCTATGACTGCAAGTGATCTTATTTTTCGACCGACTTAAAAAAGGAGGTATTGATTTCGGATGCAAGGTTTGTCGATGTTTTTAGATATTGCAAGATGTATTTGCCACTTGCAAACCGTTTTTTAATGAGCTATAGTTAATAACTCCATTCCAAAAAAAAACGAGTGAAGTATACTTACGTACGTACGTAAGAAGTTATGCTTCTTTGGTGTAACAGAACAAAAATAGCTAAAGATTTCATTCTGTATGGCACAATGCTCTGTTTGTAAAAGGAATGCAGCTACTTTATTATGTCGCTTTCAGCTAACTTCATCATGTTGGATTTTGGCTGTCGGTGTGCGGACGCATCGTAAACTTTACTTTCATATAATTTTTCCAAACGTGCCAAAGGAAGTATAACTTCAAAAATACATTTCTAAGGATTTTATTGATTTTTAGAGTAAGTAAACTTTATTTACAAGCAATCAACCCCTGCTTTACTCTGTGTGAGCCCCCTAGCTATAACCCACCCATTATCCAATAAATATTATATATGTTCTAATCTAATATCTAAATTGACCCTTAAGGACCCATTTCTAATCAAACAAAACATTGTTCGTTTAACAGGATCAGGATTATTTGATCATTCGCAACAAGTGTTCGCTAGTTACAAATCCCATTATAGTAATATATGTATGTAAATATGGGTACGTATTTATAATTCAATCCTTAATTTCTCGCAAGGGTCATAACAGCTCACGTACAAATATTAATTTACATACAAATGGAAGCATTTTCACGCGACTCTGCTCGCGTCGTTTGATTAATCATCGTTAATAAATAATATCGTTAACATTGTTATGTACAAATAGAACAGAACAATGTGGGAAAAGGTGCTGACCTGACCGGGTTTTTTATTGATCTCTTACAGCCAACCAATGGAAGTTAGAAATAGTGTCTCATAGCAGGACAAAAATCGAACAATCTAAAGTAAAATTGTAAATAATAATCATACACTCAAGTAAGATATAGACATATTTTTATAAATACATAGCTTACATATTATACAAACTGTACACACATATATACTGTAATGTAAATACATACATATGTTCTTATATACTTAAATAGTAAATACATAATAATTAAATTTTTAAACAAACTTCCAAGCACTTTCTTTCCTTTAAGGCAACTTTTAATGTTTTTCCACAAACCTATACTTAGCGGATCCCCTCTATAAGGAATCTAAATACCTTTGAAGTTGTAGCTTTACTTATACGTTAAAAATTTTCTAATTAATCAATGAGTGATCTTTCTGATGCATTAATTCAAAATTAATTCAGAAAATACACTCATTAATTCAACAAAGGCACTTAAACCCATCAAACGAAATACGTTTAACTAGGATGGGATAATACAACAGTTAAGTGAAATAGATTATCTCGCGTACACGAATAGTTACGTTAGTATATTATGAGTATAAATGAATGCAAATACATTTGCAATACACAAAGAGATCATAACATTACACAATATATATATATATATATATATATATATATATATATATATATATATATCAAAGTATGCACGTCAGTTATTACAATTGAAGTGATACAATTCGCTATATAATTTCTACATAAACCCATTTTCATATATAGGTATATCGAACAATCTATTGTTAGCCCAATTCGTATCAAAAAACGTAAACTTTTTTCTATGTCACTGTACAAAACAATCGAATGTTTCATGCTATGTAGATTGTGTGGGAACTGGATAGATAAATAACAGTTAGCTAGGGCTCGAATATATCGAGCCAATAATTCTTTTCATGGACAAAGTAAAATACAGTTTTAAAACAGAAACCCATAAAACCTTTAAAAAGCTATTGTTAGATTTAAAAATTTCAACAGCGTTTGAGAGTTAAAGGCTAAGCCTCTCTACGTGCCTATTAGGTTCATAATTTGATTGGTTTCAACTGAAATTTTATGTTCATTTTTTCCCCTGTGATTTTTCATTTATCTTTCTTTCCTCCCTTTTTATGACAAAGACAGCGTTATTATACACGTTCTGTTCTCCGCTTTATGCAAATGTCAGTAAGTTGGGTGGTGGTACTGCAAGCTACAATATCTATACAATATTATGATAAAATTCTGAGTCGAATCTGTGCATTAAATATTTTGGAAACTCTTATTGAAAAAGTCATTATTCTGTCTGTCCGTCTGTCTGGGAACGCATCACGAGAAAACTACTGAACAGATTTTAATGAAATTTGAATATCATGATTGCTGGTTATCCGGGTCAACATATAGGATACTTTTTACTGCGCGAAAATATCTCATCTTTGAGAAATCTATACTAAACGGTAAAACGTAACCAAGGATGAATCCTGACGGAGCGAGATTGAGTCGCTAGTTTATTTATAGTAAAATTTGTATATATTTATTGGGTATGTTTAGCACTCCATCACGCTTGAAGCGCTGATTTGCCTGGATGTAGTACACTGATAAAAAATGACGTATAGTAGTAGTAACACATTAATTACTGTTAAGAATATATTTTATCCAAAACGCGGCGTTACCTATATAAAATACAAGCAATACCCGCGGCTTCGCCCGCGTTCAAACTTCCTTATTTTATCTGTTTTACAATAATGTAAGGAAGTCTGCCTGTTTTGTTGACATACTGCTCCGCTCCCTTGGGTAGTAGCATGATGATAAATAGCCTATAGCCTTCCTCAATAAACGGACTATCTAATGCAAAAAGATTTTTTCAAATCGAATTAGTAGTACCTATGATTAACGCGTTCTAACAAACAAACAAACAAACAAACAAACAAACAAACAAACAAACAAACTCTGTCTCTTCATAATATTAGTATAAATTATATAAGTAAAGGGCGCCTAGAGACAAACCCGGACGAAGCGAGGGTAAATAACTTGTATGTAATAAAATTATAAACTTACTTGGGCATGTAGCACACAAACTGCACATAGAAGTATTAGGCAACATAGTAAGGTGACACACAGTGCCGACACAAACAACGCATGTTTGAGGCGCACGCAATATCTTCTGTAGAGCGCCTCTAGCTCGAGCTCCGTGCCCTCTTCCTCTGTGGAAAAGAGAATCATATATTAAACAGATGATATTTAAATTAATTTTACAGTTTTGTAAGGTACAATATTAAAAAATTACGGTTTATGTTGAATGAATTTGTCATTACAATAACAGCTATTCTTTCTAGAAAAATATGTTAGAGAATTTCAAAGACCTTTTTCAGAATACTTATAAAAAATCAAGTGTCTGTTTATAACTTTAAATCTGTGTAATTTTCAACTGTCTGTCTTTCTGTTTGTCCTGTAGTAATCTTTGGAAAGTTATAACTGATTAAAATGGGACTTTCACAGAAAGATAGAAGAAGAAGCTACATATAAGTAGGGTATGTTTTATTCCGTAAATATTTAGGGTTCCAGCGCAAAAACCCTTAAAAATGACGCAAAATTCTATTTACGATTACATTACAAGAAAATCCACGATAGGATGTGTGTACATCCTCCTAAGGTACACATTCAATAACTATTTTATCAATCTTCTAGCTTGATTCCCTATACAAACTTTCCTCCCTATTTTCATCCCCTTTTTGGATGATTTGCGGGATAAAAAGTATCCTGTGTCCTTCTCATGGTCTCAAACTACCTTTTTACAAAATTTCAACTAAATTCGTTCAGTAGATCCAGAGATTACACCTTATAACGTCACAAACTCACAAACTTTACCTCTTTATAAATATATCTTTATTTATATAATTAAGCGAGGGTAAGTCGATAGTTAATTAATAAAAAGAAGTTTAATATTTTTTTACATTTTATGGTTTTAATTATAAAACAATGTCGACATTAAAAGTAATTTTATCATAATATTAACCAAAGGATGATCAAGTCGGTAAAATTCAATAAATCTGAGTGAAAATTGTACCTTATATTTCATACCTAAACGTCCTGTTCAATCAAGATTTTGTTCTATCTTGTTTATGGATAGTGATTATGTAATATAAAAGAATTGAGATTGCAGTATATATTTTAATATCTTATTAAAAATGAAAACATATTGCTTACTAAATCCATACTAATATTATAGATGGGAAAGTATGTTTGTTTATCCTTCTTTCACGTCGAAACGGAGTGACGAATAGGCGTGATTTTTTGTATGAAGATAGTTGGAAGGCTGGAGAGTGACATAGGCTTCTTTTTACCGCGGGAGATTATCTCTTTCTAACGGGAGAACACGTTAAAATACAATCCAAAAAAATATTTATAATCAGAATTACTTGAAACTTGGTACGAATGCTCTTCAATAAAATTAAATAATTATGTGTTTCAGCATTTTTCGAAATTCATCCTATAAGAGAGTAAAATAGGGGATGGAAGTTTGTATGAAACTACCTTTTTAATGATTTTTTTGTAATTTTAGCGCGAGCGAAGCCGCGGGTTCTGCTTCGAATATAAATGTTAATAAAGCATGGATTATATGTAGTTCTAAATCAACGTATAACGACCTTATGACAAAACCTTCATCTTTGTGATTACTAACACATCAAATTAACTCATTTTAATTATTTTAGTTACGAACTAAACATTATTTAATATGACCTTACAACTCTTCTAAGAATGAGGAAACGACCGTATCAAAAACAATTAGTCCCAGTGAAGATCCAAACAGACTAACGATTACTGGCGACCATTTGTTAAATATACGTATAAATATATTTTACGCGAATTTCAACCTAAATCCGTCTAATTAAGACACGATATAGAGTCGGTCATTGGCAATTTATATTGAATCCTTGCCAAAGACGTTGATTACGTTCATTAACTATTTTCACCTTGAGAGACAATTGCAGTGTCAAAGTAAAGAGCCGATGGAACACGTGGCAATGTTTACTTATAATTATCTTTAGCTGTCTGCTAAGGGTTCTTGCATAAGGCAGGCCGCATGTTATAAGATTTTTTTATCAGATTTCTGACGCCCGCCAAAAGGCACTTTGCTTATATGTTTTGGTCTAGACCCCGCATACTATCAGAATTCTGACGTGTCTGACCGTCCGCTTCTGATGAGTCCCGAATGCCGCCGATCGGAAGTCAGATTTTTTTCTGATCAAAACGTCGGGGACGCGCTCTCTATACATTTTGTACTAGATCCCGCACCCTTATCAGAAATTCGTATCAGTTGTAGTAGTTGGAACGAAGTCTCTGATAAGTGCGCGGAGCGTCAAAAATTTTCTGACAGAAAAAAAAACTTAAAATATGTGGCAGGTCTAATTCTGTCAGTGTTCATAGACGTCTAAATTCATCTTTATTTACCAATCAAATTTAAGTACCTCTTTAATTTCAAATAGCTACTCTACACAAAGCTCTTATATTTATTAGTAGGTAGGTACGTCCCTAATTACGTTTTAACGTTTAGTATAAATTTCTCAGAATTGAGATATTTTCCTGTAGTAAAAAGTATCCTATACGTCGACCCGGACAACCAGCTAACATCATACCTAATTTCATCAAAATCTGTCCAGTGGTTTTCTCGTGATGCGGTCACAGACAGATAGATAGACAAAAATTCTAAAAACTATAGATTCAGCCTCTGTATCGATAATAACGATTATTTCAATAAGATTTTCCAAAAAATATTTAATGTACAGATTCGACTCAGTTAGAATTTTATTCTACGTATATATATGCTGCTTGTTTTATGCATCTTAATTTTTGGAACAATTTATCTAATGTTAATGCAATTGACACGCTTGTATACGGATTAAGGACGAAAAGACATGTGCCACGTTATATCCTTAGAAAAGAAAATAAGAACGGATAAATCGATTTTAAGCGGACCTTTACTGCGAAGTAGTAGTTATCCAGTCAAGGGTTACATAGGTTTCTTTTTGTGTCAAGGAAGAGAAAAGGTTTCTGTAAGAAAGAGAGTAAAAAATATATGAATATTTGGCATTGGATTTTGTGAGGACCGATGTCATACAATACGGTATAAAATCTATTTTTATTCGTATAAATGAGATTATTTTTTTTATATGTCTGGACATTAACACACAACATCATCTAGTTCCATGGTAAGCTACGAGGCTTGTATTATGGATACTAGATAGTTGATACATTATACATACATAACTTTAAATACATACATATTATAAATATAAACATCCATGACTGGAGTGCAAACATTCGTGCTCATCACACAAATGAATACCCTCAGCGGGACTCGAACCCGCGACCGCTGGCGCAGCAAGTAGGCATTACAAACTGAGCCAAACGTGTCGTCAAAAGATTAAAGTAAGAAATGATATCTGGCAGCTATATAGCACTTTTAAAGGTAAATAAGAGATTTGCCAAAAATATTGGCCTCCTTCAAATTAAGACGCCTGTGAACGCAAAAGTGTTATTTAATCACGCTTTATATTTGCGGTGAATGTTATCAACAATTACTAAAAGTAAAATATTCGAAGCACAACATTGCATATTAAAGCATAAAATAACGTAGAACAATAGCTATTTTAACGAAAAGCTCATATCGTAAACAGGCTTTAAAATTGAATTACTTTTGTACGAAGTTTTATATAATAATAGGTTTTTAGTACATACAATATACCCGGGTGTAAATATTTATAATAAATCGACAACATCATTAATTTGGATAACCTTGGATAGCAATCATATTAAATTATAGACAAATATAAAAAGGTAAGATATAAAATCATCAAAATTCTGTCCGGACTTCACATTCAATTTACAAGATTTAAGTCTACAGTCTACATTAGTATTATGAAGAATAAAACTTTCTTAATTTGTATGTGATTCTAAAAATATTTTCATTATATTACCGTCGAGTGCTAGGCTAGGTATATGCTATTTGTTTTCGATAAAAATAAGTGTACTGTGCAAAAATGTAAATAACTAATTGAAATCGGAAGAAAAGTTGCAGTTAAAATGCTTTATTGGCGTGCGCTATTTAAATATTTTGAAATAAAACAAGTAAGTGATGTATGACAAAAAGAACTTGAAAAACGCAGCGAGGGGTAAGTCGCTTTGTTATAAATTAAATTAATATATTTAACTTTGTTAAGTTAATACAAGCAAAAATATTGTGAAAAAATATAAAAATAAACTAAACAGTTTAATTTTTTAGCACTTTACTATACAAAGTATCATCTAAACTCTATACATATAATAAAATTGTAACTAAGTCGAATCTCTACATTAAATATTATTTGGAAAATCTTATTGAAATAGACATTATTATTATCGATACAGAGGCCGAATCTATATATTTTTAGAATTTTTGTCTGTCTGTTTGTCTGTCTTTTACCGCATCACAGAAAAACCACTCGAGGAATTTTGATGAAATTTGGTATAGTGATAGCTGGTTATCCGGGTCAACATATAGGACTTTTTACCACGGGAAAATATCTCATTATTGAGAAAAAAAAAACAAAAACTGCAATGTAAGAGTATACTAATATTATGTAAAACCTAAGAATTTATAAAAATATAATATACATAATATCTATTGGTCACTATTATAGCTGAATGATGCACGCTCTCAATTAAAGTTCAAAATGGAACCGTACTACTTGCTAACGAACTATAAAACTGAATAGTCCGAACGTAATGGATTGGCTAATAGCTATTAGGTACATATGTACCGGCAAAACCATTAACTTTCACTCAATGCTACGAGTTTGTTCTATTATATATAATAAAAAGAAACATTTTATGAAAGTTTTGTATGAAATGCAACTAAACTTTATTCATTTAGATTGATTACAAGCACTTTTGTATCGTCAATTTAATTTAAAGAGCGTCAGTGTCATTACGTGAGGAAGCATTACCGCCGCGCTCAGAAAGCAGTTCTCCTGAGAAGATCCGGCGAGAAATCAACAGCTGTTGCCCTTTCGAATATCGAAGTTACATTTTATTAATTTTAATAACATAACATTATAAATAACCCGCATTTGAGCGAAAATTTCCATCAACAACAAACTCTTGAACAGAATAATATGCTTTATTCAATAAAATATTTTTAATTTTATCTTTAAATTGTTATAAA